CCCCAAAACCCCAAAACCCCAAAACCCCAAAACCCCATAATTTTTAGAAATTATTGAATAATTTATGGTGATTTTTATAGTTGGAGCCCTGCTCATCCTCTCTTTAGGTTGAAACATTACCCTCCTCGTGCTTTATTTTCGCAAAAAGACTATCAGAATTAAAAAATTTGAACAGGTAAAAGAGGATATTGAGATTGACCTTAGACCAATGGAGAACAACTTCTTTGATGTTGAGGTTGACCCTGTCTCGACTCCAGTTAAGAATTCTAAAGGTAAAGAAAATCTTGAAGTCGTCTCTAACTTCCAAAACTGTATTGACCTAGAAATTGAGGAGTATTTTCAAAAGAAAGTTAACGAGTGTCATCAATGTATTTCTAAATAAAGATTATTTGTCTCTCAGTGTGAAATGGAACACTATGGAGACCCTGTACAATATGGATAACATCTCTGAGTACATTACTGAGCATATTAAGAGCAATTTATTAAGAAAATCTACCCAATTTAAACCAACTTCAGATGAGAAATCTCTAATAAAGAACAAATTTAAAGATTTGCCACAGAAAATTACTGATATCCGTGAAGAACTTTCTGGGAAAAAGGACTTTATTCAGGATCTTATTGGTGATCTTCATACTGAAACCGAGAATCTTGAAGCAGAAGGAGAGGAAGAGAGTAGTCCCGAGAAGGAAGAAGAAGTTAAGCGTAACTTTACCAATGATTTGCCATCCTCTAAGTATAACATAAACAGTAATCCTTCTGCTTCGAAGAATAATAATATTTATCTGTTTGATGAAGAGGAAGAAGAACAAGAAGAGAATTCAGAGACTTATAAATCTAAATAACAAGAGTAGTAGTGATACTTATCAAAATATTTACAAGAGTAAGGATTCTGGGCAAGATCGGTATGATAGCTACAGAACCAACTCTCAGTTTAAACTCCCTACTGTGGAAGAAGAGCTTCACTCAAAAAGAGAGGTTGCTAAGAAGAACACACAGAATACAATGAGACTGGCACAATTTGAAGACCTCCCTCCTAACCCAAAAGTGCAAGCAAATATGAAGTTTTTGAATGAACTTCGAGGTCTGTCTCGGTTTACTATGAATCAATAATTTTAACAAATTTTCAATTTAGGCTGATGTACAAGGGGTTTTGGGGTTTTGGGGTTTTGGGGTTTTGGGGTTTTGGGG